CTGCTAATATAGTATATACTGAAAAAATTGAAAACAATATCAAATAAACTAACATGTAATAATATAGTATATACTGAAAAAGGAGGGTTGTTATTTTTTTATATACTTATATTTTGTTGAGATTAAAGAAAAGATGAGAAAACAAAAAGTTTTTAAAAATGGTCCCAAGTAAGTGGTTTGATTCATCGTGGGAGGCTTGGAGCGCGGTGAAAGCGTGATGGAAGCGGTATGAGATAATAAAGAAATGCGTTTGGGGTAGCGTTTGCTGACTTTTCTTTTTCCTGGTGCCCAACGTGGAATGGTGCTCGTACAGAGTTAAGGGACAATAGAAAAACATTTAACAGTACGTAAACATTATCTTGCACATGGGGCACAAGGGATGATGCTGCTTCACGTGGGATGATCTGCTTCTCTTCGCTGGTTTTCAGGCTTTTTAACATGCTTTTATCTGCACATCTTCGAAACCATTTGAGTTTGCATTTTCAGAGTTCGAGGGACTAATGTTGAGTTGTATTAATGATAATACAAAATATTATTTGAACAGTGGAATTTTTACTAGGAAGCACATATTTCTTACCTCTCAATTCCCATCGAAAATGTCTTTTATTTAATTTTTTTTTATGAGGTGTTCTAACGATAACCCTATTGTATAGAAAATAATATTTGCGACAGATTATAGTAGTATTTTAGGATCGAATATTGTAATTGCGGCAATTGTGCACTCTAACAAATATAGATTATTTTGTTCTAAAAAGATTTTCTGACACAATTGTTTTGTCAGGATAACATCGTCTCAAAAAACATATGTCGTCTTTAACACCTTCCCACATTCAATAAACCCCACCCCACCATCTCCCACTTTTTGTTGTTAACAAATGAGATTACCTATTTAAGATGAGGGGGTGTGTGCTAAGTCTCACAATACGCTACTAATAATGTGGTTCTAATTCGTATTTGGTGAAAATCTAAGTTAAGATCTCACCTCCCACTTTTAACCGAAAAGAACTCTCCAAAATCTAAACCTTTATTTTTTAGAAAAAAGAAAAAGAAAAGAAAAAAAATGGGTTTTAATTATAGTCAATGGCTTATGAAGCTGTTAGTCATGCATAAGTCTATGACATAATTACCATGAGGTTTTATAAGATAATTAATAGTGTGTAATTGACTTATGATAGTTGTCACATCCCGGCTTCGGCCCCCACCACATTCCGAACTCGACTCCACCGTAGCACGATATTGTTCGCTTTGGGCCCCGACCACGCCCTAACGGTTTTGTTTCTGGGAACTCACACGAGAACTTCCCAATGAATCACCCATCATGGGATTGCTCTTGTGCGCTACTCGCTTAACTTCGGAGTTCCTATGGAACCCGAAGCCAATGAGTCCCCAAAAGGCCTCGTCTATTGTATGGCTGCATCTAACGTCTCGTTAGACTGCCTACGTACCCTAAACAGGGATCAAGCAATTCGTAGTTCGCACTAGTCCTTTAAAGCATTCACATAAATTATATGAAATATTCAATTTAAAAACGTTTGTGGAGATGTCAATTTTACACACACACACACACACACACACAATAGAAGGGAAAAGACCTACTCACCTTAGGTTCGCACTACAACTCCCTCGCACGAATATCGAGACATCATGAGTTATCGTAGCCTGTGACCAATTATCAAATCACGTCTCAGAGTTCTTACCGATAGAATACATAATTTGCTTTGATACCAAACTGAGACACGCCGACTCGGAATGTCCACTAGGACCTCGAATCGAGTTGTGCTGGCCGACACCTAGAATGTGACGAAGCCATAAAGTGTGATAATATATAAAATGTAAATACATTAAAACCTAAAAGTGCTTAAGTACACGAGTGGGCGATGAGCGGGTCTGGACCTATTTCGCACGTGATACAGAGCATAGGTATAGTACAGTAATGTAAGATAATGATTATAACATCATAAGAAGACATCTGTACTAAAAAGTGCCACGAATCCTCGTCGATACGGAACTCTGCTACTAGAACCTGAAGGGGTGCAAATAGAATATGTGAGTGAGCGAAACAAAACTTTGCAAATCAATTTCAATTACCAAAGGTAGTAACCCCTCGCCGTAACACCTATATAATTTCCCAGAAAATAACAGGTGTGAATATAACTCAAAACCATAACCAAAATAACAATCTCACAGCTATGCTGTGTCAAATATCTCAACAAGAATAAGTAATCTAAGTGAAATAAATCAATATGAAATGGTATGTCAACCGGATCCACCTATTGTGGCCTGTACGGCTGAACTAATAGCTTATCAACATGCTAGCCGGAGTCACCTCACGTGACTTGTACGACTGAATCAATAGCTCATCAACATGCTAGCCAATAGCTCAATAACATGCTAGCCAGAGTCACCTTACGTGACCTGTACGGCTGAATCAATAGCTCATCAACATGCTAGCCAATAGCTCATCAACATGCTAGCCAATTGTTCATCAACATGCTAGTCAATAGCTCATCAACATGCTAGTCAATAACTCAATAACATGCTAGCCAATAGCTCATCAACATGCTATTCAATAGCTCATCAACATGCTAGCTAATAGCTCATCACCATGCTAGCCAATAGCTCAATAAGTATACCTGCACACAAGTTAGAACCACTTAAAGTAGTCTATACGACTTTAGAATTCCTTTTTGGTAAGTTTGGTAAACTCACAATAAGATTATATTTCAATGGTTCCTGCTAGCATTGATATGAAAGTGGCGCAAGCACCCGCCAAGTCGATCTATCATGAATTCCTCACTAATCGAGTGATAAACCATGTCGAGAAGGTTAAAAGAGCACTCAAGAATTTGAGGGTCAAAACAAGTTCATGAAATTTAGAGTACAAGATAAACGAGATTAATTAATTGGGAACTCCAAAGTAAACCCACTAGGAAGTTCTCGTGTGAGTTCCTAGAAATATCCTGTGCTCTTTCTTTGATATATTTTAAGGCATTTGCTTCTTTCTCTTTCTTTTTGATGTACAAGTCCATTGTTCTTGCCTTCAAAGAACACAGAAACAGATAGAGTGTATCATGACTATCTTGCACGTGCTGCAGATCGCTAACATTTTTTGCTCTGTCATCTGCTATAGCTGCTATTGGTGGTGATAACGATGATTGTGGAGCCAAAAGTAATATCAAAATTTTAGAAGAAGACACCGTGAACTTTGTATCGAAGAAGACAAGAATGCCCTCATTAAATATGTAAGGCCCACAACTATTTTCACGCGCAGTTCAATCCCTGTAGGTTTGAGTAGCAGACTACGACAATGGTATTTAAAATATGATTAATTACTAAAATCTTATCTTTAATATACTAATTGAAGATCAACTCAAACAAATAAGGAATTCTCATCACAATCAATAAAAATACTTCCATCATTATTCAAGGATATTATCTCATTCATCCTACGGATGACATATTTTGGCCAATGGGAAGCTGCCATGTGTAGGAAAAAAACCTAATGCTATGGTCATCCACCTCCTTATAAATATTTCATCTCCACCAATTTCTAGTAAGATTTTGTTATGCACTTAAGCCCTAAGCTCTCTCTATTCAGAGAAAAACTAACTTTTCAGAGAAAAACTAACTTAGGCATCAGAGATCCCTTGGCCAAACCACCCCCGCCCCTCACACCTCTTGGGCGCATAGACTTTGGGCTTGACCAAAAGTTTTTTATTTGTTTTGTAGGTACAAATTCTTCAGGATTGAAGACGGCGGATTTTTGCTAGCACAAATTGATGCTTTCATCGAAAGCCCCATTTAATATTCTCGAAGAAGGCTCTCACATTCATTTTCGGAATTTTTTGTTACGTTGTGTTGATGCACAAAATTGGGTTGCCTTTGGAACAACATAAGGTGTCGAGGTTGTGACCTTCGCAAGGTTGCTTGGGTCACCTAGCTAGGCTCAATATGAAAAGAGATGAGACATAAGGAACCAGCACAAGATATATGTGGTTCACCCTAAGTTGGGTTACGTCCACGAGGGTAGAGGAGTCCTCATTAATAATGTAGAGTTTACATGATGCAAATGTTTAAATATAATCATCATTAATGAGTTCTAATAAGGGATTAAGCAGAATAATTTAATTAGCTCTTAATTGTGAGATAATGATTTCCTTTTTTAGTTGAGGAGAGTCTCATGTTCTCGTCTGCGGTCGACGTGGGATTCTAGGAACTTTATTCTGGTGTGAACACTTGTCATGTCGTGATTTGTCTATTGATTGGAGAGAACTCACGTACTTTGGCAGGGTTGCCTCAACATGAACCATTCATTAAATCTTCAAAGGTATAAAGTTGACAGATGCTCGATAGTTTCGAGGTTGGTGAAGTATAGTACAAACCGTGCTCCCTCAATTTCCCAAGTGAGGAAAGTTTTTCGGTCGAGGACTTGAAAAATCCAAATTATTTAGTAATCACAAAACTTTTGAGTACCAAAGTGTAGTAGCATTTATTGGGAGTCTCTCAAGTCCCTGATCGAGGAAGATTACTGAAGGATATGCCTTTATTTTGTCTGAGTTGCCGAGGAACCAAAATATTGAGTATTGCCTTCGAAAATTTTGTACAAAATGAGGGCCCATGAACAAAACACGGCAAAACATTTCCTTATAACTGAGCCTTGTTTCATCAAACCTACGTTTGGATCGAGTCTCATCTGGCCATACAAAACATTATCAGCAGGGCCACCTTAGCAAAGTTGTGAACTATTCTTTTAAGTCTTAAAAGTATAAAATTGACAAATGCTTGATAGTTATGAAATATGATACAAAAAGAACACATGTTTAATTGTGTAAATTCTAAATAAATTGGATTGAGGAATACTCTTTATTATAGTTCTTTTCTATTAGTACATAATGCGCGTAAGACCGGGAAGAGGGGGCCTATTGGCTACTGTGTGTTTGCCACTACCATGCACTCCACTAGTCATTTGTCAACTTTAAAAAAAATTATGGACCGATGATGATGTGCCCTTAATTTGTCTTTCTTCTCCATTTGCACTTTTTTTCATTATCCCTTTGGATATCTTCTTGGAGAGAGTACCATAAAATTTTCATTAACTTTGTGCGTGTTGTCGAATCAAGTCAACAAGTACAATTGCTGAACTAAAATCTGATCCAAGTCTCTGCGGGCAACTCCTCTCTCCTCTCTTGCTGGAATCCCAATTTCTACCTCTCACTGTCTTAATTTGCTTGATTGGATCCTCTCCCAATTGCAAATTAATAAAATTTCCTTCATCTCCAATATCCCATTCTCTTTCTTCGACATATTATCAAGCACTCACTTCTTTCTCTTTTTTTTTAATTTTTTATTCCTACAAGTCCATTGTTAGTTCCTTGAGTGAAACACAGGAAACAGATGGAGTGTATCATGACTATCTTGCATATGTGCTGCAGATCGTTAACATTTTCTTCTCCATCATCAGCAGCAGCTGCTGCTGCGGGTGATGATGATGATGATGATGGTGGTATTGAAGCTAATATTCCCCCTCGTCGGGAAAAGTATGATGTGTTTATCAGTTTCAGAGGTGAGGACACTCGCCTTGGTATTACAAGCCATCTTCATGCTGCCTTACTTCAGAAGAAAATTGAAACCTACATAGATTACAGACTTCAGAGAGGAGAAGAAATAGGACCTGCCCTTCTAGAGGCAATCGAGAAATCCACGATTTCGGTTATCATTTTCTCACAAAACTATTCTTCTTCCACATGGTGTTTGGATGAAATTGTGCATATACTCGAGTGCAAGGAAAGATATGGCCAGATGGTTATACCCGTATTCTACAACATCAACCCATCTGATGTACGAAATCAACACGGAACTTACGCGGATGCATTTGCTCAACTTGAAAAACGTTTTAAGGACAATATCGATAAAGTGCACAAGTGGAGGGATGCTTTGACGACTGCAGCCAAGCTATCTGGGTTTGATTATTCAAACAACTCCGGGTAACTATCTCATTCTTTAACTTGTATAAATTATAAATTTTCTTTAAACTTGTGACAAGATTTGGTAAAGCGTATTTATGACTTAACTATTGCTTTACTATCTAATCATATATATCTATATGGTAGGACGGAGGCAGATCTAATTCAAAAAGTTGTTGATCATATTTGGACCAAATTGTGTCTCGAATCATCCTGCGATTTAAAGGGCTTTGTTGGAATTGAAAGCCGGATCGAGCAAATTGAATCTCTATTAGGCATTCATTCACCGGACGCTTGCATCACTGTTGGTATTTGGGGCATGGGTGGTATTGGCAAGACCACCCTTGCTGAAACTCTGTTTTACAAACTCTCTTCTAAATTTGAAGCTTCTTGTTTTCTTAGAAATGTTAGGGAGAGAGAACAAAAAGAAGGGCTAGAACACTTGCAAAATGAACTTCTCAGTCAGATATTGAAGGAAAAAGGTCTATCCATAGGATCAACTAATGTTCGAAAAAGGCTCAGCCATACAAAGGTCATCATTGTTCTTGATGATGTGAGTAATTCAATGCAAATGGAACGTCTAGCGGCCAAGCATCTACACTATGGCACTGGAAGTAGAATCATTATCACAAGTAGAGATAAAAGAATACTTAGGCAAACTGTTGAAGAGTGTAAGATCTACAAGGTTGGGGGATTACAATGGGATAACGCTTTTCAGCTCTTTTGTTCGCATGCTTTCAAGAACAACAGTACTCCTAGAACAGATTATAGGGAGTTGGCAAAAAAGGCGGTGTCTTATGCTGGAGGTGTTCCTTTAGCTCTTATACTTTTGGGGTCCTCATTCCTAAATTGCAAGAGCAAAGAAGACTGGGAAGATGAATTGGACAAATTGAAAGAATTTCCCAATGAAAATATCCAGAGTGTGTTAAGACTAAGTTATGATGGACTGGGAAGATATGAGAAGGAGATATTTTTGGATGTAGCATGTTTTCATAATGGGGAGGATGTGAATGAGGTAATAAAATTGTTAGCTATCCATGGACGCTTTGCAGCGGCTGGAATTAGAGTTCTTGTTGACATGTCCCTCATATCTATTCATCATGATATATTTAGACGGAAAACCATACAGATGCATGATTTGCTACAAGAAATGGGAAGGACAATTATTCAAGAACAATGCATTGAAGATCCTGGGAAACGGAATAGGTTGTTCGCGGATGAGGATGTATATCATGTACTGAAGAGTAACACAGTAAGTGTGCCAAATACATTCAAATTATTATTTTTCTTTTAAGGAAAAATAAATAGCGAGTTTTAGATGATAACACAACAAAGTAATACCAGATTCTTAAAAATGAATTTTACTGTGTTAGGAAGTCATTGGAATATGAACACATATTTGTTTTTTTAGACAAGTAGAGGAGGATATAATTATCTTAGATATTTCACTAGACACTTGTACATCATTACCTTCGCAAATACTCTTAGATTATCCTATAACTTCGTAGAATTCTTTTTTCAAAATGTGCATTACATTTTAACGGGTTGAAAATATCTATAAATATATATTCACATTTAAACTTTGTCCATATTGTCAGGAAACTCCAATTGTTCAAGCCATATCCGTTGATTGGTTTAAGATTGAAAAGCGACCATTGAAACGTGACTGCTTCAAGGTGATGTCTAACCTAAGATTGCTAATTGTCAAGTCTCAAATATTTGGCATCTACCGCGGATTCACCCCTTCTCTAGATCTTCCCAATTCTCTTCGTTATCTTTATTGGTGGAAATATCCACTAGATTTTTTGCCGTCAAACTTTTCTCTTCAAAATCTAGTTGAGCTTCATATGCCCAATAGCAAAGTTAAGAAGCTTTGGAAAGAAGACCAGGTATTATATAATAGAGTTTGCACACACCACATTGCCGCTTAAATATATTTTATCATACGTTTTTTTAGCTATTTAAACTTATTAAATTAATATTTTTTATATTGTGTAACGAGTTATCTTAACAGGTGCTTATCGGGTTACTCAATAATAACCTGATTTGTTAACGTGTCGACCCCAAACCTTTTAATTTTGTGTTGTTTCATGTTAGGTGAACATGTCACTTAAAAAATTGTCAGACCTAATTATATGCCTTTTATTCTTGTATAAAAACAAGCGTAGAAAGTATATTAATTCTTGATATTTCTATTTAATTTGTTGCAGATACTTGTGAACTTAGAAGTTATCGATCTGCATTACTCTGAGTATCTAACTGAAGTTCCAAATCTATCTGGGAGTCTAAAAATTGTGCACATAAATCTTGGTGGCTGTAAACGTTTGGTTGAAATTCCTTGGTATTTTCAACATCTTGACAAGCTTACTCATCTTGATCTTACATACTGCAACAAACTCAAGTATCTTGCAGAAATGCCAGCAAATATTAAATACTTAAATTTAGAAGGCAGTGGTATAAAAGAGTTGCCTGAATCAATTTGGTCTAACGAAAATATTTCTTACTTGAATATAAGTCGTTGCAAAGACCTTGAGAAACTTCCAAGCAACAGGTGTAAGCTGAAAGTCTCTGATGGTTTTCATATTGAGGGCTGCACATCTCTTGGTGAGTTTTCTGAGCTTCCCAAGAATATAAGTAAATTATCATTGGTTTGTTTCAAGAGACTTGTGAGTCTACCAGCCAACATTTGGAAGTTGAAATATCTCAATGAACTTGATCTCTCTGGGTGCACTAAACTTAAAAACTTCCCAAAGATCTTGGAGCCAATGGAACATTTGAAGTCCTTAAATTTAAGTGGAACAGCAGTTGAAGAGCTACACTCATCAATCAAGTTTCTCCCTCATCTCCAAATAATTCAACTACAAGCCTGCAGAAGGCTTTCAAGTATCTCAAATAGCATTTGTAGGTTGAAATATCTCAATAAACTTGATCTCTCTGGGTGCACTGAACTTGAAAACTTCCCAGAGATCTTGGAGCCAATGGAACATTTGAAGTCCTTAAATTTAAGTGGAACAGCAGTTGAAGAGCTACACTTATCAATCGAGTTTCTCCCTCATCTCCAAATAATTCAACTACAAGTTTGCAGAAGGCTTTCAAGTATCTCAAATAGCATTTGTAAGTTGAAATATCTCAAGAAACTTGATCTCTCTTGCTGCTTTAAACTTGAAGACTTCCCAGAGATCTCTGAGGAATTGGAACATTTGGTGTCTCTTATTTTGCAAGGGACAGGTGTCGAAATGCTTCCTTCGTCTATTGAAAATCTAATTAAGCTTCAAACTTTAGACCTTAGCGACTGCAGGAACCTTAAGGATGTCCCAACAAGTATCTACAATTTAACCAATCTTAAATCTCTCTACTTTTCTAACTGTCGGCAACTTGAAAAATTGCCTTCCAGCTCTGTCGGTTTTCTCTCTTTAGAAGTACTAGATCTCAAGTACAGCGGTATATTGGAAATCCCTGGTAGTCTCGTTTGCTCAACCTCATTGCGATCTTTATCTCTGTCTGGAACCAAGATTACGAGCATACCTGCAAGCATCAAACTAGCTTCTCGGTTGTCCAAACTCAACATTGTCTGCTGCAAGCGGCTTCAATCTTTACCGGAGCTCCCAGTGCTATGTAATGTTGAAGCTCAAGGCTGCAAGTCGCTGAAGACGGTGTCAAATTCAAGGACAGCACTCACATAAGGTTGGGTTTAACATGGTCATTTTTTGCAAATTTTCTACTAATTGCCCAAAATTGGATAATACTGCAAGCAGCAACATAATGGATGAAGCATAGATTAGAATTATGCGAGTGGTAACTATTATGCAAGTGGTAACTACTGAGTACCTACTTTGGCCTCAGATTAATGTTGGATGTCCGGGAAAAGAAATTCCAAATTGGTTCAGCTATCAAAGTGAGGGATCTTCATTAAACATCAAGCTTCGTCCAGATTGGTTTCAAACAAGTTTATTGGGTTTTGCACGCTCAACTGTTGTGTCTAGGGTTTCAAAGCCGCAATGTGACTTAAGGGTAAGAGCTAATTTCATTGAAAAATTCACGGGTGAAAGCCATGAATTGTTCACTTCTCAAATCTTTAAAGCATAGGCCACGAACATCACATGCATGGGTGGAATGAGGCCTTTAGAAGTGAAGATGTAGTAAAAAACTGCTCCCCTGATGTTTACAAACTTGCCAAAGAGGCCTCTATTGACTTCTGCCATGTGGTTTCTAAAGGATGACCTACTTCTGCTTCTTATATGAAGGTGGAAAGTTGTGGTATATGCCCTTTGTATGCCGAAGATGCTGAGAAATTCAAATTTGATCATGTCTTCATATCGATGGAATCAGAAGTAGAAGAAGAAACAAGATAAGATGACGATTCTGAAGATGGTTGATAGGATTAAAATCACACCACAAAGTAGCACACAAATGTCTTATTGAGTTATTTACAAAAATGCCACCGTCTCTTCAGTTTGAGATTGAAAATTTCGATTTATTTACGAAAATTTCGATTTATTTTCGAAGCTCCAATTGCATCCTTAGGAGAGTTGGAGAATCTCTACAACTCCTCTCCCACAGGCCTAAAACCTCAACTATGGAGGGAAGCTCGCTTCTGTTCTTCTCCCCATTCCTCCAAAAGCCCCCCTCATTTTCATTTCTCTGGTTCTTCTCCCCCAACTCCAAAAACCCTAAATCCCAAATCATGGATCCGAAGCTCTTCACCAGAACCCTAATCCGAAATGCGAGCAGGTTCTACTACACGAGCATGACCTACTACACGAGCAGGACCAAGTAGCCGACCCTCCACAACAAAATCAGCACGCTCGGAAACCCTAGCTTGAATGTGGTTCCAGAGCTCGACGACTGGGTCTACAATGGCAACAAAATCCGAGTCACCAAGCTTCAGCGCATCATTCACGACCTCCAAAAGCGGAAACGCTTCTCCCAAGCCCTCCAGGTTTCTATCTTTCTTTCTTACCTTGCAATTTGTGTTATCCTCTGTTTGGTTGCTCAAAAAATGAAAGAAAAATGAAAGAAGCATCAAAGTAATTAAATTTTAGTTAAAGAAAGTGAGTGATAGAGGGAATTAGGATTTTTGTTAGTTAATGTGTTTGTTTGTATCATAAGTAATTGGAAATTCCTCTGCTTTCGTAATAATGTGTTATAGGTTGCACATTTCAAAGTGGATGAATGAGAAGAGGATATGCATATATTCACCTTTTGAGCATGCCGTGCAGCTGGATTTGATTAGGAAGGAAGAATTTTGCACAAATTGCTGTGAAATAAAGCCAGTTTGAGCATGTGGGTCGAATCGTATTGGACATTGTTGCATCATGGAGCATGTGATTGCTGGGAAGTTTAAGCTGGGGAGGAAGATTGGGAGTGGGTCTTTCGGAGAACTCTATTTAGGTATGGTAATCAGTGCTTGATATCCTTTTTTCCTTAGAAAATTATTCATTGTGTTAATTTAATGTGTTTTGTAATGAAATTGCTCTTCTGGTGTTAGGTGTAAATGTATACAGTGGGGATGAGGTGGCTGTTAAGCTGGTATGTGATCAATCCTCAAATCGTAGATTCAGTTCTGATGTTTGGTTTATGACTAAATGTTTGCAAGCATTGTATAGTTTTGTGCCTGAGTTATAAATGGGTGGCTTCATTAATGTACTAGGATATGTTGAGTGTGAGCTTCTGGTAATTCATTATGATTTCATGCACGCTTCCATCTATATATATTACTTTAGTCTAAAGAAGGGATTCCAATTACACTATTCAACTGAACGGTGTTTTGGGGGTGAATTTCAACTTATTTACAAATTTGCCACATGCTCTCTCTGCCGCTGATCTTGATGCACACGCGTTGATGATCGCAGGAAGGGAATAAAGCAGGCCTTTTCCGTTTCCTTCTCAAACCCTCATTGCCTTCTCTGTCTCACAGACCCACGACACAGACGGTCTCACCTCCGTCCTATTCTCCTCTCGCCGCCGTCTCCCTTCTCTCGCCTCCACCTCACTCCCGCCACCATCTCCACTCCCTCACCTTCCTCCCTCTCCTCCTCCAACAACCTCACTGGTATCTCTCTCTCTCTCTCTCTCTCTCTCCTCACTCCCTCTCTTTGTCTCACTCCTCACTCTCTTTTTAAGTCCAAAATTGACAGGAAATTGACGGCGTGTTTGTGAATGCAGGGAAGAGGAATTCCTGGAAAATAGTTTTGAGCTGGCAAAGTCCGGGCTTTGAGAGCAAGCCGAAACTGGCAAGCGATTCGATGGAATCGGAGAAGGGATTTTCAGAGTTGAAATGGAACCTGTACCCGGATATCAAGCTGGACAGTTCCGGGTTTCTGAAGGTTTTGGACATCCACAATCTATTGGGGGCAGTCTGGAAATCCCGACGGCCATGTGAGTTGCAATTCTTCGTCCTAATAAACGACGTAGTTTTTGCATTTGTTGTTCGAATTTAGAGTTTTTATTAGATACAATTTGATTTGTTTTTTATTTTCACTTTTCCAAACCATGATATGAACGATCAACTGAAATTTATTCTTCCAGTAATAGCGCAACACTTTTGGGCATGATCTATTTGTTTCATTCAGCTTAATTAACATGTTTTGCACTAAATCTAAATAGATATGTCAATAAACTGGCCTGGATATACAAACAAAAGATGATTCAACATCACACTTTTTTTTAGTAAACCAACAAAATGCATTTAGAGCACTTATAATGGAGATGTTAAGAAACGGTTAGCTTAGGAAACATGTTTCAGGTGCCTAACACAACCTCTCACTACTCACTCACATCAGTTGGTTTTTGTAATTTGAACTTTTCTTTCTGATAAATTTGTATGCTTTCTGGAATTTTTATGGCAGTTTTGGACCTTTTCTTTTCTGAATTTGTGTGCTTCTCTAGGTTTTTTATGGCAGTTTTGAGGAAGAGCAAGAAAAAGGAAGAACCAGTATTGGAAGGTCTTCCCAAAGAGTACTACGATGATGTGAGTGCCTTTATCCTTTAACTTGGCCACATGGGTGCTCAAATTTCATGTTTTTCTGTGATTATATGAGTAATATTTTGTATTTCGTTTTTGGGTTTTGCCAAATTCAATGGTGGTATTTATGGGTTTGGTATTGATTTTCAATTAACAATGACTTTGGGGCAATTGATGGAGTCTGCATTCAATGTAACTTTTCATGTAGTTACATATTGATGAAAAAGAATTCAATTTGTTCATTCCCTTTTTTTTTTTTTTAAATGCAGTTACATTTATATGATGATTTACATCATATATTCATCTTTTAGTTTCTAATTCTTCATGCAGTCTAAGCCATGAAGGATTTGATAAACCCACAATTGATAACAATGTGTGGTGGTACCAACGGTTTTGGACAAGGAACAAGTAAGTACCATTTTGCTTCATTGTTCCAAAGTATTAAGAAGAGATTGCTTTAATATCTTTGCTTTATGTGGGGTGTCCGAGATAGGATTTACGAGATTTGGTTTAGGGTTTGCAGAGAGAGAGAGAGATAGGGGGTGTCCGAGAGAAATGTGGGAGGATTTAGGCGAGGGATTTCAGGGATTTGTTTAGGGTTTCTTTTCTGTGATTTGCAAACAGATAGATGGGACAAGGGTGAGAGAGAGAGATGGGAGGATTTTCTGCAAGGCTAAAGGGAACGGGAGGTATAGGTATGGGTAAGGGATGGAAAAGCATTTTGTTTTTGCTTTGTGAAACCCGAGGGATTTCTGCGATTGCAGAGAGAGAGATGGGGGTGTCCGTTAGGTGCCCTTTAATTGTCATTTTTGTGATTTATCCACCCTTGATTGTTGTGTGATTCATTCTCACGAGTGTTCGATGCACAAGGTTTCATATTATTCCTTCCTTTTAATTTTGATATTGTTGTGCTTAATTTCTGTTTTATTTTATTGGGTGATTAGATTACAATTTACAATCCCCAATTTTTTATTTATACTTTTTATGCTTCACTGCTATTGCTTTTATTGTGTCGTATAGAACAAAGACTTTTTTGAATGTTATTACCGCTGTGGTTTCTATGTGTTCGATACTGATATTGGTCTTTCCCACATGCGCTCTTTTCACAAGGTTTGATGGGTTTGATGATTCTCTTTTCTTTGCTGAATTTTCAAGATAGAGGTTGTATTTGTATGATACATAGCAAAGACTCTATGGTAATTCGTGGATTACATTAACTAGCTAGACTGTTCAATGAGTTTGATTTCCACTAGGTACTAAATGCTGCTGCTGCAATAACATTATCTAATTTCAGATTCAGTGCACTAAATGCCAGCTTTCAGATTTAGTTTTTTCTTACATTTGGAGATTGCAGTTGTGTTTGTGGCTATTGGACATGGAGATATATATCAGTGCACTCATTGGTAGAGTCCTACAAATCAAGGCACCATTTTTTCGTTCTTCTTAGGCACAGTTTATTCCGTCAAGAAACCAGAAATGAGAATGGCTGTTGCATATGAATTTGATGGACTTTTATAGCGAAATGGGAAAATAGGGTTAGTATCAGAACCTAGCTGGGATTTTGCATCAGGAGAAGATTAGCTTCTCTGGGTGATTTTTTTTTTTTTTTGGTGATTAACGTCTTTCGTCCACCCATATTGAGTAGAAACCAACCAGAGCTTAATTCATTGATGGATAGAAAATTGAAGACTGAAGCCACCGATGCTCATTCTTTGTTTATTATTTTTTAGAGAAAGATTGTTATATATATGGTCATTTGCTAATCCAACAATTATTGAATTGCACCTAGCCATGTTGAGTGGAAAGTCACTGCCTTATTTCTTTGAATTTTGAGTTCTTATAAGACCAACTGAAAAAATTGTGACTTTTGAATTCTTATGAGACCAACTGAAAATGGTGCAAGGAAAGACAATTAGAGTTGATCTCTTTCATTATTATTATTTTTCATTTGATTTAATAGGTTGTCAATCCATTGTCTCAACTTTTAGTTCAGAACTTCATTTATCATCCACATGTGTATTCGTTTACATAATCATTGGTTGGTTAAATGCATGTATAATTACTCTTTATTAGTCAGGTAAGATAGTTTTTGTTAGTTAGAGGGCAGTAGAGAACAAGTGATAAGGTAAACCATATGGTTGGATAGAGATCATGGATACAGATTTGTTAATTAGGTTTAATAAATGATTATTTGCTTTGTCAGTGTTTTGTAACAAATTTCTATGGTGTATAGGTGTCTAAAAATTTCAATCGTGTGCCCTGGCTGAAGGCAAATAATTTTTGTTCACAATTGATACAAAGGGAGAAGAAAAGAGGTAAAAATTTGATGACTGTTGTTTTGTGCTTTCAATTGGTGCTATATGGTTTTTTAATGTTAATTGTTCAAACTCTATTAATTAGGTAAAATAGTTTTTGTTGGCTAGAGGGCAGTAGGAAACAAGTGATAAGATAAACCGTATGGTTGCATAGAGATCATGGGTACATATTTGTTAATTAGGTTTAATCAATGATCATTGGTTGGTTAAATGCGAGTATAATTATCCTCTATTAGTTAGGTAAAATAGTTTTTGTTAGTTACAGGGCAGTAGAGAACAAGTGATGAGGCAAACCATATGGTTGGTTAGAGATCATGGGTACAGATTTGTTAGTTATGTTTAATCAATGATTATTTGCTTTGTCAATGTATTGTAACAAATTTCTTTGGTATATAGGTGTCTGAAAAATTTTAACCGTGTGCCCTGGCTGAAGGCAAATAATTTTTGTTTGCAATTGATACAAAGGCAAAAGAAAAGAGGTAAAAATTTTGTGAGTGCTGTTTTGTCCTTTGGATTGGTGCTATCTGGTTTTTAATGTTAATTGTTCAAATTATTTTGAATTTTCTTTACCCTCAGTGTATCTTTATTGCTTATTTTCCTGGTGTTTATTGGTGATTCCATTTCTTTTGTGTATGGAGATTAACTGTGTTTTGTTTGTAGTCATTGTTGTTTTTAGCATGTGAATTAGAATGTTATTATAATTTTTTTCAGCTCTATCAGTTTTTGGATTCTGTTTATTACGTTGGACTACAATTTTCGACTTGGTAACAAGTGCTGGTTTTTTTTCTTTTTTCTTCCATGATTTGAAAGTGTTTTGCTCTTCCTCTTTGGCGCATTTTTGTTTGTCTTCCAAGATTTCCTGTGTCAAAGGTGAGTGATTTAGAGTTTTTGGATAGTTAATTTTTTATTTTTTGGTTCTGTTTTTTAAGATTGGAATAAATTTCATCATTACCTTTATCTATAGTTCTGTTCAAATTGAATTCAATCGGTGAAAGTGATCAGAGTTCGTCACCGTGTGAATGATCCCAGTGGCTCTTGGTTTTCAATTCTGGTGATTTCTTGGGTTTTGCGGTGTGTAATGTTTAGGGATGTGGTTTGGGTTTGTGGGTAAGCAATTTTTAACTTGAATTTATTTCCTTTTTTTTTCTCAGATTTGTTCAACGGCATGGTTTTTTGGTCCTTTACTGAATAGTTGTTTAAGAAATGTTAGATATTTTAATTGCTTTGATTTCTTTTGAATTTGTATTTTATTTTATTTTCAAGCCTTGAATTTTGTAAGGACTTTCATTTTTAAATAGGTAGTTTGACCCCATTGACAAATTTTTTAACAGCAGCTTCAAATCAACCTCTCTCCTCTCAGTCAGTCATCTGTTCTGTTTCTTCTACAGGATATCTATGTATACATTTACATACACATATAATCGGTTTCTGCTATAATTTACATCTATAGAATGAAAATTGATTTTTTTTTTATTTGGGTTTCTGAAGTTCCGAGAACGAGTTCGTCGCGGCCAAAGTTGATACTTTTGATTCCAAAATTGCCTCCTTTATATCTCACAAAACAGTGCTGCAATTCTCACAAGGTATCTTTAGAAAAAGAAAAAAAAAATTATTGATTTTTAGTAGTAATATTAATATTTTTTTTCTTGATTTTCTTATGAAATTTGGATTTTTGTGTTTTGGATTTGACTAAAATTGTTGAATTTTATCAGTAAATTTGTGTTTCTTTCTTGATTTTTTATGAAATTTTCAGTTTTGACTAATGGGGTTCTGTTAAAATTTTGTGTTTCTTTATGAGTGATGCAAAGTGGTTGTGCTTCATGTTTTAGTAGCCTTGGGTGCGTAATTGACTTGATCTTTCATTGTTTAGATGTGTTATCTTTGATGTTTGAATTTTTAGGGTTCAATATTTAAGAGCCATTTATGAAATTTTTAGTTCCTCGACTGAATTAATATTCAATATTTTGCACTTCCCTATTGATTGTTGAATCTTTGATGCTCTAATTCGAGGTGAACATTTAACAGATTTATCATGAACAAGTCAACAAAATAATTTTGGTGAGTGCCTTACATATATGGACTTTTGAATTGCTTGATATGTTGCTGGTATGGAATGCCTTTAGTGAAGAGTGGTATTATACTGGGACTACAGTCAATTCAGTTGCACTGCTTTCCAGTTAGCCTACTTGAGCATTTTGTTGAAAGAGCTCTTAAGCTAATCTACCTGCATCTCATTTTATTAAGGTACCTTTTACAACTCTGCATTACTGACTATTTGTTCTTTAAAATGTTTATTGCAGATGAGGATGTTGACATTGTTAATTAATTGCAGTTTTTGTTCTATTGGTGTCCATTGTCTTTGTCAGCTTAAGTTTTTGGACTACAATGGGAAGCAATTATTCGTTGGATACTTGAGTACTGCTTCATTAATTTTCATGTATGTTTGCCATTGATTGTCATCGTAACTGTGTCAAATGATCCTCATTCAGATTGTTCTTAGATGGTTGAATTTGTTCTCACTCATGCCCTTTTTTTTCTTCAGAATTTGGTGTTCAAAACAAAAAGCATTGAGTTCATGCCATTTAATCTTTTCTTGGCAACTTTCTTAGTGAGTTTCTCATTCACTGCACGTGGAGTGTTCAAGGTGAACCCTTTTCTCTATGTAAGTACTATATTTCCTTCAATCCAGAATTTCAGCAGTTATATAATCTCCCTCATCATAGCACCTATTCGTCATTCTCATTTCTTGGTCCAAATTGCATCTTAAAACGTGGTTGAATGCCCTTCACATCAAGCACCAATCAACCATATCACACTTGCATTGCATAATCATTAAGTTCATTTCTTCAATATTTTGGATGCAGATGCCAAATGGTATTGATGAACAATTTTACCCTTTGTACAGTTGGTTCTATTGTTCTACTACAAAAATTCATCTGAAAAAGGCGCGGAAGAACCATTGATAGCTGCACATCTATGTTGCAGAGATTTGATTCAAATTGGTGGATTTAGGTAAGAAACTAAGAAACCCTAACATTTCTTTCGGTTTTAAGAGCTGAAATGGACATGCATGTGTTTCTCTTTGTGAGATATAAGGGATTGAGGAATTTTGAGAGTGGTGGCTAGCTAAGGAAATAGAGAAGGGATAATTCTTTTTGTTTTGGGATCCACAGTTTACCGCAAGGTTGAATTCTCATGATTTTTTTTTGTTGTTCTAATATCTTTTGTTCATGTATTTGAATGCATTATTTTTATTTCTGCCAATTTATCTGAACCCCATTTCAATTTGTTGGAATTCATTAGAGAGTATTGGGTCTAATCATTTCCCTTTAATTTTTCAAGTTGTTTTTTTATTTCTACAAGGGAGTTGCTGGTGTCCATGTCAGATTTATAATGAAAAAAAAAAACCATTTTTTCTGGATATATAAGTGTTTTGTTGAGTACATTCTTTAACTTTTTAATTTATCACTTTGTTATTTGAGGATGTTCCCATCCATGCAGGTCTCTAACTTCGTCCTTGGTCCCAAGTAAATGGTTTCATTCATTGTGGGAGGCTTGGAGGGCGGTGAGAGAGTGAGGGTAGCAGTATGAGATGATAGAGAAACGCGCTTGGGAGTAGCGTTTGGTCACTTTTCTTTTTCCGGTGCTCAACGTGGAATGATGCTCGGACGGAGGGAAGGACAACAGAAAAACATTTAACAATATGAAAACATTATCTTGCACATGGGGCACGTGGGATGATGCTGCTTCCCTTCGCTGGCTTTCAGGTTTTTTAACATGCTTTTTATCTGCACATTTTCGAAACAATTTAAGTTTGCATTTTCAGAGTTTGTGGGATTAGTGTTGATCTTATTTGTATTTGTTTTATTAATGATAATACAAAACATTCTTCGAACAATGCTCCGTAGAATTTTTACTTGAAAACATATATTGCCTACCTCAATTCCTATTAGAAATGTCTTTTACCTTATTTTTTCCGATGAGGTGTTCTAACGATAACCCTATTGTATAGAAAATAATATTTACGACAGACTAGAATAGTATTTTAGGGTCGAAAATTGTAATTGCGACGATTGTGCACTCTTACAAATATAGATTATTTTGTTCGAAAAAGATTTTCCGACACAATTGTTTGATTGGAACATCATCATCGCAAAAAACATGTCGTCTTTAACACCTTCCCACATTCAATAAAACCCACCCCGTCGTCTCCCACGTTTTTTATCTTTAACAAATGAGATAACTACACTAAGATGAAGGGGTGTGTGCTAAGCTTCACAATGTGATAGCAAAATTGTGGTTCAAACTTGTCTTTGTCGAGAATCAAGCTTAAAGCCTCTCACCTACAAGTGAATCCTCTCAACTTTTAACCGAAAAAACATCTCCAAAATCTAAACCTTTATTTTTTAGAAAAAAAGAAGAAAAAGAAAACGGGTTTTAATTATTGTCAATGGTTTATGAAGCTGTTAGTTGGGCATAAATCTATGAGATAATTACCATGAGGTTTTATGATATAATTAATAGTGTGTGATTGACTTACGATAACCGTTGTAGTGACTTTTTTGTTGTGTGCAAATTTCTTTTCTTTTATTTGGCCATGTCAAAGAAGAATATTGCTTGGCTCCTCAAGGTTGAGGAGGATGCTTCGTGTTCAAATCACAAAATTTTGTGTTTATAGTTGAAACGGTTCATACTATAAATAACCCTGAAAATATCGTTTCTTAAAAAAAAATCAATTAAGACTAAAGTCATTTAGTTAATCAATTATAGCAAATAGATTGACAGTTCATAATGCTTTAGCCGAATCCTTCTATTCGTAGGTTGCACGCTTGTTGATTTAAAAATTCATAGGCTTCAGATTGGTTTTATCTTACTTATGTCACCTTGACATTCTAAACTATTAATGCACTAATAAGTGTGCCACCTAGATCCTACAGTGAAGTGTTTGTGTAGGCTAGTCCTTGTTGAGATTAGATTGCATGCTAGTGAGATTGGTAGTGGTAATGATTGTGTAATACCTTATTATGGTAAAATCAAACTAAATAGATCTTGGATTTTTAGTGGTTATCTATAAATAACCTAATAGGTTGATTTGTTACATGTGGTCGAAAAGACAATGTCAAATCTTAGGCAATCTCTAATAGTGAAGAACTATATTCTTAACCCTTCATGATTTTTTATTTTATTTTTATCCAGAAAGAAATTCATTAAAAACAAGAACCTCTAGTACAACTATTATCAATACAATCAAAATGAATGACATTGAGCGCAATAGAAGGTAAACAATAATCCCAAATGTAAGGATTCTCAATTGACATCCCCCCATGATTTCGTAGTTTGAAATTCATTTGTTTTTATTTTTTGAATTTTTATCACAAATGGTCCTTGAAATTGACCCTATTGATTTGAAATTCATTTGTTTTTATTTTTTGAATTTTTATCACAAATGGTCCTTGAAATTGACCCTCACCATCAAGATGGTCTCTGAAATTGAAAATCAATCAATGTAGTCCCTGAAAATAGGTGTCATAAATCAATGTAGTCATTTCGTCACAATTCTGTTAAAAATTCCGTTAAGTTCTGATGTGGCACATAAATGGGCCCCACAAGATTTACAGTTTTTTTTTTTTTTTTTGACAAATGGTCCCTAAAATTGACACATACCATCAAGATGGTCCATAAAATTGACTCACACTATCAAGATGGTCCCTGAAATTGAAAATCGATCAATGTATTCCTTGAAAATAGGTGTCACAAATCAATATGATCCTTTTGCCATAATTTTATAAAAAAAAATTGTTATGTGTTGGTGTGAGCTTAATAATTAATCTAAAAAGTTATCTAAGTACCATTTTGCGCAATGGATTTTTTTTCCTTATAGTTAGGGCCTAATCCGAAGAGAGCCCTTCCATAAATTCTCAAAAGCACAAGGCTTAATGAAGGTCTAAGAGGGGGTGTGGAAATAATTTTCAACCAACAATAGACGTACCTCATTTATAACCTCATTATCTCAAGGCAGACTGTAAAATCCCATTCCTGAATTTTACTATTGCAGACTGCATATTTGTATTAACAAGATTTTATATTATTTACAAGAATTTATATTAAATTTAGATTTTAATTAAACTAATTACGAAGTTTGAATTTTGGTTAGTAAGCATTTAAAATTCGTGGACTTTACAGGGTCACACTAAGTATAATTGGATAAAGCTCGATCCTACGAGTGGGTAGGCGACAACCGTTCTTGAAACAGAGTTTTAACGAATGAGAAATTAGCTGTTAAATGTAGGAGTAAAATAGTAATTAACCAATAATCTGGAAGGGCCTAGATTTGTTGGAGCAACAATCTGGGTGCCACGTGTACGGTTGAGATGGGGAGATGAGGAAAGAAATAAGGGAAATGAGGGAAAGACGGGCCAATTAGGTGGGAGAAATGAGGGAAATGAGAGAAGGGGAAAGGTAGCCAACCCTGGTCACTTCCCGACTCATCACACCCATGTGACCCAACCTGGTCCCTGTGTGAATTTCTGACGTGATATCGTCGATTTTTTCGATGAAATTCATCGAACCAGCACCTAAAACCAACTCCACAAGCCTCTTTCCTGCATTTACACTCAAAATCGACGAGTTTTGGCTCTAGTTTTGAGAAGAACGATGTCAATGGTGCCGAAGGTCCTATGGAGGTGATCCGTCATTCCTGAAGCCAATTCCATTGACCACCACCACCAATAGACTCCCCTCAACCTCAGGAACAAAGCCTGGTTGGGACGTCAAAGTTCATTTTGGCATCGAATCGAGAACACCCATTTCTAGGATTTTCAGCGGATCAAGGAGTTTTTAGTCCACATCCACGCTGAATTGGACTTCAGACCAAGTATGAAAATTATTCCCCTTAACTTGCCTTACATTTCTGTGAAATGTACCTGCGCAAGGACATGTTTGGGGAGACCGGAGCCCTGGAAGAAAGCGACGGCTTCATTGCCACTAATCCGGCCAGTCCAAATTGGTTCGTCGGAAATATGCATCGAAGAGATCCACATTCGCCAATTGGTTCTGCGCCGACGCCATCGCCACCGTCAGATTGCGATTCGCGGAAGATCAGACCATGGAATCAATCGAGAGAAGCGCCGGGAAGAATCAGAAAACCACGAATTCGAAGGACCAAGATATGCCTTAAAAAACGACAAAGTACAACGAGGATTTGGTTGCCCTTCTTCTTCGATTAGGAGGATGATCAAAAGACAGACGGAGACTGAGAGATGCCAATAGTTTGAGGGGAAAAAACGATGGTCGTTGATCGATTTTTCCTTCTAATTTTTTGTGACAAAAATGGTACTGTAATTTTGTGATATTTCAAAACTGCCACTGGCTCTAATGAGCCCGGCCCATTTAGTATTACCAACTAGTTCTCAATGATGAAAATTGAGCTCAACCGAAAATGAAGGTTGATGATTAGATCTGATGATGGCCTTGTTGGGAGGACCATTTCCAAGGGAGAATGCCAGCCGGACTTGCCCCAAAAGCAAGTTCAGCAAGACTCACCCGCCACGTATATCTGACTTCAATTGTTAGTGTTTCTTACGTCCCACTGTTAATATAAGTAATATAGGTTAAGAAAATTATAATTTATGTTTAAATTTCTTAAGAAAACAATCTTTGCATTTGTTGTTTCTTGTCATACAATTCATGAATTTAATATTTTTTTCATTCAATTGGTATTCTGAGTAAATACACAACCAGTAACGAAAGAAAAGTACCTAGCTTCTTTATTTTCTTAACTACGTTTTTTCACCTCATGTAATGCCTTTCCCAAGCTTAGATTGTAACCCAATCCATAAGCAAGTGAAAAGCAGAAGTTCTATATTGCATGTTAGTTTTGATCCATATCTAAAAATTCTATGCATGGGTACAAGAAAATTATCTTTTTGGCAGCAAACAAGAAAGAATAGTGAAGTACGAAACAATAATGTGAAAAGTTGGACGTAGAAAATAAGTTATTTTTATTTGTATTATTATATAAACGGCTTAATAGGTGCTTGTTTATTTTTTTAAATAAAAAGTATGAAATGATGATGATGATGTGCCCTTAATTTGTCTTTCTTGTTCATTTTCTTTCTTTTTTTCATCATCCCTTTGGATATTTTCTTGGAGGCTTCGTACTCGGAGCACCATAAAATTTTCATTAACTTTGTGCAAGTAGTCAAGTAAAATAATACAATTGCAGAACTAAAATCTGATCTAGTCTTGGGCAACTACTCTCCCCTCCCTGGCTTCCCAATTTCTACTTCTCTGTCTTTGCTTAGTTAAGTGCCTAACGAGAGAGATGGAGTGTATCATGATATCTAGCTTGGGCCACGGCACATAATTTTAGGCAGAGTTCTGGACTCTCTTATAATCTCTTGATAGTCTAAAATAGACGTGGCAAATCAACCTCTTAGATTATTAATGGGTAATTGTTAAGATCCATTTAGTTTAATTTAACTTCAATATAAGGTTTGATTTCATCATAATATGAAGGTGAGATTGGTAGTAGTGATGATCGTGTATAACTTATTATGGTGAAATCAAACTAAATAAGTTTTTTAGACTCTTAATTGTTACCCATTAATGATCTAATAGGTTAATTTGTCACTTGTGCTAAAAAAGACAATTACAAATGACAATTTCCAACCGTGAAGAACTATATTTCTAGCCCTTTATGATTTTGTAGTGTGAAATTCAGTTGCTTTTATTTTTTTACGAATTATAAAAGGTATTCAATCGAAAGTGCTTGGAAATTTCTGAAAAGAAATTGATCAATAATTGGCTTGTTTGGACTAGGTGTTTGGATTATCTTATGCATCGCTTGTAACTTGGTTTTGGCTTGTTGGCTTAATATCGTAGGTCTGGCATTGGCTT